GTTCATTCGCCTTCCGTTGATCCTCCACGAGCATAGTCTAGGTCTCATGGTCGTAGAGGACCACCAGTCTTATCAGCGTCTTAGTCAACTTAGTGGTGCAGTGAATTCGGAAGAAAGTAGGCACCTGGGTACTGCGGACTCACTCAATATACTTGTAACTTGGGAGCCAGTGTGAACTGTCAAACGGGAGCCAAACATTCAGAAGCAACAAATGTAGTTACTGTTCTTATCTATCGTCAAGCATGCTGGTATCATTTTCGGCGGTCACCAGTGAGCCCAAATAAACGAACTCGTCTACCACCTCGATTTCGTCAAAGTCAATCTGAACTCGGAGTGGGAGGCTAACATTGTCCTTCACACTTTACCTGTCACTGATCTCAATATCGCGGGCTTGCTCGCTTTACGACATCCCCGGAAACTTCCAGGATGCCCTAAACGAGGACCCGAACCGAATTGCAGCTCTTCTTGGAATTCTTCAGGAATCCGGACTGTTTTTAAGGATCTGCCAAGACTTGACCCACGCAGAATATTCCTACGGAAAACTTACGACCCCGATATACCGCAATTGAGCACGATTTAGAACCATGACTAGGCTTCTACTAGTCTGACAAACTGTAAACTATGCTATGATTCCTTCCTGGAGTTACCTCACTTAGGTCTCTCAAATAAAGACAAAAAAAGACAATCACCGATGCTTTCAATGTTTCGAGAGGTCCGGGCTTAGGAAATCACCTAGTTTCGGGAGGTCTCGCGGTTCAGCAAAATCTTGCAACCTAGTGAATTCCTAGTAGTTCCTAGGGGAAGTACAACTTGATCTGAAGTAATATTTGATGTAAAAATTGCTCAAATTGGTAGATATTATAATTTTTAGTATAAATATTAATGATATTAACTGTCAAGCGGAAAGCTTCAAAGTAAAAAAAAAATAACAGTGTAACTTTAACGCATACACTCAATGACGTTGCACCGTTGTTGTTTATGTTTACTGCATCTTTCTGTTTGTCATAATTTTTGCCTAGATTTTCGTTTTCGATAGCTCTGATCGATTTCGACTTCGGCTTTTTATGATAAAAACGGTACTGGACGTTCCCCCAGCAACAAATCTCTCCAAGTTGCATTCTCATGGCGAATCGAGCGTAATACGACCACGGGACCATCACTCTGGGCTTCCGTTAACAGGGGCGGCGTTGTCAATCGATTCCCGTTCCATAGGAGAACAGAACATTGGTTCACAGACGATGAAGAATTCGTGGAAATTAATTCCTGGGATTGGAATTGCGGCCGATTATGTGCGCTGAGAACAGCTACCAAAAAATGCCGAATTTATGAGAACAACGAGCGGATTTTGGTGGCGGTGGCCAGCAAGATCACAAAGGAATGACTTGCCTCTTGTGTGAAATACATTTTTGATTAAACGAATGTCAAATGTACACTTAAAACAAAAATAGTCAAAAACAAACAAAAAACAACTGTCAGACTAAGTATAAGATTCGCAAATATCACACATATTAAAATATTTAATATTTCCACCATCGGTATTGATACTGATACTTGGAGCTGTCCTTCCCCTAGAGTAGTTCCAAAAATTTAAAAAGTCCCGAATCTCCCTGAGCTGCCAAAACAGTGAGAATATCTTCGAAGACGCTCGATGTTGCTTCTGGAATGCAAGCAATTTTCAGGAGTTCCCAAAACTTCAGCCAAATGACACCAAACGCTCTTGGAATTTGAGATTTGCAGCTATTCAGGGATTCTCCGTAACACCAGAAATTGGTGGCAGTCTGACGAATCTATATTCTTTCCGACGTTTTGAAAGTCCCGGCAACAACTTCCGAAACTTCAGGAACTCCCCGAACATCTCAAACCTCCAAATCCAGAAGTCCCGGGAGTTTCCGGATTTTTCGGGAATACAGTAATTTCCAAAAGGTTATTTTACGGGGTGTCTCACCGGGAGGTTTCCCAAGCATTGCAAGCTATATAATTTCAAGAAAATTTCGTGGACTGCTGCAGTTCTGGAAGCATCCGAATTTTCCAAAAGGCTCGGATGTTTTCGAAGAGTTAGTTGAGGACCTAGAGTTCCAAAAGTTCAAATTTTTCAGACAGTTTTTTCTCTGAATTCCGAGTTTTTCCCAAGTGCTTACCATTTACATAGTTTGAAGTTCTTAACGGAGTCTCAGTAGACCAGTAGACAGTGCACAAAATTAAGAGCGTCGTAATTTCTGAAGATTCAAATTTCTCACAGTTTTGACAGTTCTCGCAGCTCCGACAGTTAAGGAATTCCCTAGTTCCTGGAAGTAAAAGTTGTAGAAGTTCTTGGGATTCCGGATGCTGCAAGGATGCTGCAAATGTTTCAAGCGTTCTTTAGAAATTCTGAAATTCTCAGAGCTACAAGCTATCAGTAACTTTCGGTAACTATTTTTAAATTTCTTATAAATTTTGTGCTTACATGTTCAATCAAACTGTTTAAAGTTACATTATACAGGAAGGGGTAGGTGGTACACCCTCCGTAGGACTGAATACGCCAGGAGCTATAATCGTGGACTCAAAGAACACTGAGAATTCCTGCAATTTCTGGAATTACCAGCCCAATCAGAAGTGGAGGAGCTCTCGCCAAATCAACAGGTGTTTTTAACCGGAATTCAGAAGCTCCGTAACTCCGTAATTCGCCATAAATTTCAAAACTCTCCTGGAACTCCTAGGACGTCTCGATCTTCAGATGTATTGGGAATCAAGAGTTTTGAAATTTATGGCGAATTACGGAGTAATCACATTTTCTAAAGTTCTTGAAGTTCCGAGGGTTGTAGGTGTTTCGAAAGCTTTGAGGCATTCGAGTTCCAAGAGTGTTTTAAGAGTTTTTGAAGTACCTGTAGTAAACAGTGTTCACATGGTTCCACATAGTTTTGAACAGATTTCTGTCAAAGTATCTTTTGATAAATATTTAATCCACTACCGTCAATCTGAACGACACTTCGTGCATATCAACGGGGTTGATTTTTAATTTGAACTTCTAGTAATCCTATGACCATAAGAAAAATGACTTTCTGGTAACCTTATCTGCTGTTTTGTTTTGATTCTGCGTTCCATTCCGAATCGTTCCATTTCGCTTTACTCCATTGATCAGTTCACGAAGATTTGCCGCACTCTTCTCTCACCCGTAAGTTTTGACAGTTTTGGGTGGTTTGTTTTGACTCCCATTCGTTGCTATCTCTTTTACTCAGAAGCAAAATGATAGGGAGCAAAAAGTGAGGTTAGGGACCGTGCACTGATCTATTCCATGTGTTAAATGACGTTTGAGAAATTTTTAGTTTGCACGGTGTGCACACGGTTAGAAAAAAGTGCCCAAAATTAAGTTCGTTTCACTCATCTCGGCACTATAGTGCAGGAACCCAAAAGTAGGTAAAGCGGGTCAAAGTAATTTTCATTTACTTATGTGCAGTTCGTATGGAATTTTCCACTGGCTTTTTAACCAAAAGTAAGTTAGTTGTACCCAACAGTAGGTAAATATGATTATACTCAACGTTGGGTTCCCACATTTTACTACCCCTATTGGGTGGTTTTGCTCCTTCGTTTTTGACAACATTAGAAGGAGAAAAGGAGACAAACTAGTCAAAAGTAAGTAAAAGTGAACTGGCCGTTGGGTACTTTTTTCTTACCGTGCAGATTAGCGAAGTTCAAACTAAAAAGTGTTCAGATTAAAAACGGTCCGGGGGTCCACGGTATAATCTGTATAAACTTTTAAATACCTTATGATCTCGATGAAATGTTAGGTCAATCAGACCAATCGAGAATCGCCGAAATATTTCGATTACTTTCAAAATCAGCTATGAATACTAAGTCTTGACAGCACGATTGACCCGGTACTCTAAGGAATGAGCTCAACAACATCATAAAAACAATGTAAACAAAGAAGCAAAAATTAAAAGCACGATTATCTTGTTGGAAACATAAGTAATGATAAGATCCATTGATCTAACCTCAATTTCGCCACAGTTCAGAAAGCTAGTTTACAAAGTGTTTTCTCCCACTATACGTTTCAAATCTGATAAATTTAAGAACCCCAACCCTCACGTCGACATCACCGAAAACAGTTTTAGTCAAATTCAGTAAATGCCAAACCATTCAGTGTTGCCAAACCAATTGAAATAACTCAGACGAGCCTTAATAGACCCATTTCCTGTAGAAACATCGCTCAGAACAACACGCAATTAACACCTTCCCAACTAAGCAGGTGGCCATCACGCCAAAACAACTTGTTCCAACTTCCGCAAACTAATAGATCCACCAAAAAAAATAATCGCAAAATTCTGCTCCGCAAATTGCCAGTTTTCATTTTCACTCCCGTTCTTCCACTTCGCGGCCATAAACCCCTCCGCCTGGAAGATCGGGAATAAAGTGAAGGTAAATAAACAATTTAGAAACAGATTAACTCCATTAGGCTCCATTCATAACTGCAATTTCGGGGTATCCAAATATCTGCCACTACCAGATAGAAAGAACCGAAGAACCCAAATATGGACGTTTATAACACATTTCAATTAAGAAGCTCTTCACGATAAACTGCTTCCGTTTGCTCATCTAGCCCAAAATGCGAGTTTAACTGTCTTCAGCGAAGAGCAAGCGGCCGAGCAGGCTCGTGAGAGTGGGTGAAGATGACCATCGTTGTAAATGCCTTTCTGGACTATCATCTTCATCGTCGTCATCATCATTATCTGCATCCGTGCGTTCCCCTGCCATAATCTTTCCTCCATCAATCGGACCTATAGGAAATTAAGTACAAACACACACGCGTGCTCTTACTCCCAAACAAGTGCCGCCGCGGCCGGCACGATAATGGACATTTAATAGCCTTAATCTTCATCACCTCGAAAATTTGCAGTATTAAGCCTTTCCGCTTGGTGGTGCATTATGGGGCCAACCGTTTGCAATGCACATAACCTCAAAAAAAAGTTCGCCAAATCTGACATTCCTCGCTAATTGAAGCCTTATCTTTTTTTATTTTGCAGAACAACCAACGGCATCCCCACAGGTGGCGACACTTGGCGGAAGCGGCAGCAGCACCGGCACAGGAAGTTGTAGCTTTCCGGGCGCCCCGGCTCACAGTACCGTCCAGTTTACGGACGAGTCGCTGCCAAATGGAGCGGTAGCGTCCTACTCGTGCGAACGAGGCTTCGAACTGCTCGGACCAGCGCGGCGAGTCTGCGACAATGGCCAGTGGGTACCGGAGGGTATCCCCTTCTGCGGTAAGTAGCTAGTACTTAGTACAGTGTATATCGTCAAGGGAGGTCATTGACCCATCGGTGATCTTCTGCTCTTCGAAGAAAAGCTCGATCTGTTGCTCTCTGTGGTGGCGTGGGGGCGATCTTATTTTGGTGAAAGATGATCAAAGAGGTCATCGAGATGGGAAAACAAAATTACATTGACGTAGTAAGGAGAGGTGTAAGGGTCAACGTCAGACATACGCATTAATGGAATTTACTATATGACAGGTATATGCTCCTAATTAAATCCTACCGATAGAACTCAAGATTGAAGCGCTCTAATATATCAGCGTCATCCATATTTGGAGACAAATTCAGTGTAGAATAGTAGGCCATCGATTTATGAAGTATCAGATACTTGAAAAGAAATCTTTATGCCACCAGAATCCAGAAAATAAATCTATGTCTGAATTACTTGAGAACTCTTCACAGCAATTCTGTGGAAATGTCTGAAGAAATGATTTGAATTAACCGTGAAATATTCTAATAATCTTGGGATTCTCTCTGACCTTTAAAACTCCTTCAAAACTCCTCCATAACATTCTAAAAGACCATCACATTAGATCCGTTTGCGTTGCGTTGATGTAAATTTGACAGTTAAGAATTTCTTTCCGAAGACTCGTTAAATTAACTCTGCAGCACTTTTGGAACTGTGGAAATTCCCACAATAATTAAATAAATTTCTTTCCATAATTCTCTTCAAAAATCTTAATCTTAAAATTCCTTTAGAATGCTGCCAGGATTTCCATGGAATTTCCATCTCAATATGCATTTGAAATTATCCTCAGAAACTCCTTGAAACTCTTTTAGGAATTCCTTTGAGTTCTTCTCGGGATTCTCGTGAAACTCTCGTCAGAATCCATTTGGAATTCTTCTTAGAGTGCTTCTCAACATTCTCCAATATTATCCCAAAATTCCCATGATTTTTACACGAAAGTTCCTTTAGAATGCTCCCAAGATTTTCATGGAATTTCCATCTCAAGATGCCATTGAAATTATCCTCAGAAATCTCTTGAAATTCCTTTTGAAATTCCATTGAAATTCTTTTCGGGATTCTCGTGAAACTCTCACCAGAATCCTTTTGGAATTCTTCCTAGAATTTCTTTCAAATTCTCTTCAGAATTCCAATTGAATTCTTTTTTTAATTCTATTGGGATTCTCATAGAAATTACTCCTAAGAACTCCTTTGCAATTATACTCAGAAATCCATTGCAGTTCCTCGATTCATGGGAACTCCTCTTTAAGTTATTGAATTCTTTTTTTTTTAATTCTATAGGGATTCTCATAGAATTTACTCCTATGAACTCCTTTGCAACTATACTCAGAAATCCTTTGCAGTTCCTTGATTCATGGGAACTCCTCTTTAAGTTATTTTGGAACTATCCTTAGAATTCGATCATTTTGAAAACGTTCTTAGAGTGCTTCTCAACATTCTCCAATATTTCCTTGAATTTTACACGAAAATTCCTTTAGAATGCTCCCAAGATTTCCATGGAATTTCCATCTCAAGATGCCATTGAAACTATCCTCAGAAATCTATTGAAATTCCTTTTGAAATTCCTTTGAAATTCTTCTCGGGATTCTCGTGAAACTCTCACCAGAATCCTTTTGGAATTCTTCTTAGATTTTTTTTTTCAATTGAATTCTCTTTCAATTCTATAGGGATTCTCATAGAAATTACTCCTAAGAACTCCTTTGCAATTATACTCAGAAATCCAATGCAGTTCCTCGATTCATGGGAACTCCTCTTTAAGTTATTTTTTAACTATCCTTAGAATTCGATCATTTTGAAAACGTTCTTGGAGTGCTTCTCAACATTCTCCAAGTATTCTCCCAAAATTTCGTTGACATTTACACGAAAATTCCTTTGAAATGCTCCCAGGATTTCCATGGAATTTCCATCTCAATATGCCTTTGAAATTATCCTCAGAAATCCCTTGAAACTCTTTAAGGAATTCCTATGAAATTCTTCTCGAGATTCTCGTGAAAATCTCGTTAGAATTCTTTTGGAATTCTTCATAGAATTCCCTTCGAATTCTCTTCAGAATTCAAATTGAAATCTTCTTTTAATTCTATAGGAATGCTCCTAAAGTTTACTCTTAAGAACTCCTTTGCAATTATACTCAGAAATCCAATGCAGTTCCTCGATTCACAGGAACTCCCCTTTAAGTTATTTTGGAACTATCCTCAGAATTCGAACATTTTGAACTGCTTCTTGGCAGGAATATATGGGAAAAATCCTCAGATCTTCCTTTGTATTCTCTTCAAGATATGCAGAGAATTCTCATCATAATTCCAATTGGAATTTCCCGTTGAATTCACTTGGATTTTTTTTTATCATAGATCCGGGCTGAGTTTTGAGCTAATGGCATAACTGAGGCATGGCTGCTAACCACTACGCCTGACCCATCTCCTCTCCTCACCTGACGAAGACTTCTCTTTACAATAAGAACTCGGTTACCTCACTCACGCAAACCAACATCCTCATCGGATAGGGAAAGACTTCCCCTATCCGATGGTTATGTTGGTCTGCGTGGGCGTGCCTTGAGTTCCTAGAAATCATCGATAGAAGTTATTGTTTACAAAAGCTGTTACGCCCTAATTCCAGCTCTATCTAGTATTTTCTGAATTTCATTCTCTGGAAAATTTCTAATTTGTCGCCATGGAACGCCTTTGGATTTCTTTTCATACTTCTTGTGGACTTATCCTCAAAAATAATTTGAAATCTCTTTGGAATTCCCTTGAAGTTGTCCTCAAAATTCCCTTGGAATTATTCCAATAACTTACCTTGGTTTTATCATAATAATTATGGAATTCTGATTATAATTCACCTTGTTTTTCCACATAATTTGCTTGGAATTCTTCTCGAACTTAAATTAACTTTCAATTCTTATAACTTAACAATTCTTTCTACATTTCCTATGGATTCCTTTCCAAATTTCCTTGCATATTCTCGAATTTCCTGAGAATTCTCCTCAAAAGCCATTTCATTGACTTGCAAGAACTTTACAGAATCTAGAAATATGTGCTTTCAAGGGAGAGAGGCCACATCAACAATTCTCTGTCATCACCAAGAATTTGCGCTTAATTTATGTATTCTTTGATCAATTTATTGTTATTAACAATAACATTTTTTTCAACCTCCTTTGATCAATAATTTTATCAATATTCATCAACTACTATATGATGAAACATTTTCCATTTTTAACCATTAGCATTCATCTGCTGCCTCGAGCCACAATCTTTTATGATAGGGAATATTTATCAATCAACAATTTTCCTTGATCAAAAGTCTACATTAATCAACAATCAGCCATGATCAAAATTCAGCTTAATCAATAATTTGACGCCACTCATAACAAATAATAAAATCACAATAAGCTTTCAGCAACAAACTATTATGATCAACAATTTGCTTTCTTCATCAAAAACCTACTTTGACCAACTCTCCGTCATCGCCATTGTACTTATTTATTATTTGGTCAATTTGCTTTGAATAACAATCAACTTTTTTTTTGATCAATTAATCATTTATTAACAATGTGATGTTGAAACATTTTCCATCTTTATCTATAACATTGTCTGTCGCACCTGTCTGGAACCACAATCTTTAATGATAGGCAATATGTCTAGATCGACAATTTTCCTGCATTGATCAACATAAGTTGTCTCCATCATCAATTTGTTTTCATAATCAGTTATCTTTGCCCTAAACAAAAATATGCTTGCATCAAAAATCTATCTTGATCATCATTTTGTTCTGAATCACAATCAGCTTTGAGCAACATTCTATTATGATCAACAATTTGCTTTCTTCATCAAAACCTACTATGATCAACTCTCTGTCATCGCGAAACATTTGCGCTCATTTATTCTTTGATCAATTTGTTTTTAATAAAAAAAAATTAAACCTACTTTGATAAACATTCATCAACAATTTTATGATGAAACATTTTCCTGCCACACCTGCCTGAAGCCACAATCTTTTATGATAAGCAATGTGTCTCGATCAACTATTTTCCCCAATCAAAGGCTACATTCATCAATAAGTTGCCTCCACCATCAATTTTGTTTTGTTCTTGATCAAAACTCCGCCTGAATCAACAGTTTGCTTTCATCAAAAATCTATCATAATCAACATTTTGTCTTGATTTACAATCAGATTTGAGCAACAATCTATTAGGATCAACAATGTGCTTTCTTAATTAACCATTTATCTTCAAACTCAATTTGCTTTCATCATTTTACTAAATCTTCAGTTTACCGAGGTTAACAATTTACCTTCATCAACCATATTTGTTTTATGAAAACCTAACTGGATCACAGACAATCTGCCATGATCAACAATATGCTTTGATTTACATTCTGTCTTGATCAAAAGATTACATCTGCTTGATCAACAATTTTTCATGATCATAAATTTACCTTGATTAATATTCTACCCTGATCAACGATATACTTTGATCAACGATCTGCTTTGATCAAAATTTTCTTGGATCATCAAGGTTGCTTTGATAGGATCTGCTATTTCTATCTACTTTAATCAACGATCTGCTTTGATCAAAATTTTCTTGAATCATCAAGGTTGCCTTGATCGAATTTGCTATTTCCATGATCAACAAATAAAACTCCATCAAAAGTTTGCCATAATGTGCGTCTAGGTCGATATGTTGCCTTGATCATCCATTTGCTTGATCATAAGTTTACCTTGAATTGAATTGATCAATATGTTTTACATGATCATCATTTGCTCATTCCAAACATTCCAGTTTGACTGATATTCTAATTGAATCAACGTTCTACTTTGATTAACAATTTGCATCAATCGAAAACCTGATTTGATCGAGGGGGGCGACTCTATCTAAGATGCAGGAATTTGTTTGCTTTGCTGTTGTGAGATGCACTCGCGCTAAATAGATAGAAACACGATTGATTATGATTTTGAAGATTTCCTGCAAAAAGGTGAACGGCGATGCGAGTAG